GAGTAGAGAGAAGTGTAGACTGCATTAATATTCCTGCCAAGGCCTTTGAACACCTGAGTGAAAAAAAATAATTTGTCAAGTTTATACATCTAAAAAAATTTTCTAAAAGCTATTTTTCGTACCTTAGTCTCTTCAATGCTATACTTGACACGCTTCATTCCATCAAGGTCAATCTCATGCCTTCCTGAAACCCTTGCCCTGATAACTTAAACAAAAAAAAAATAAACACAGCTTAGCATCCAAGATTTTGCAGACACATTTCTGAATCTTAAATTTAAAAGGCTTGTGTGTGCCTGGAAGACAGAAGCAACATGAGCATTTCAGCTAAAGAATGTGTGCTGCCTGTTTTTGACCTCCTGAGTCGACCTAGGGGGGAGTCTGACAAATCGAACTAAAATAACTCCTAATGAAGTTTGCTTTAGTCTGGTTAGAGATGCATACTTGCAAACTAACCTTTTTCTCAATGTCTCAATGACAGAATTGCTTGTAGTAACAGGGACTCCAGACAAATTAAGTGTGTAACTGAAAAAGCACCAACCACATTGCAGGTATTGAGTAAAAAAGAAAAGGGAGAGAGTCTGCTTTAAAAGCAGCAATGAAGTACTGTGGCAGTCAAGTAAAGAGGGATGCATGCATGCATAAATAAATAAATAAATAGGTCAACCACCATTTCAAAGAATAGACAACAGTGTAGCAGGGGTGTCCTGCAGGTTTTCATTGTTTCTTTACTCCGACACACCTGATGCAGTGAATGAATTACCTCTGTTAATTAATTCAATCAAATCAGGTGCATTTGAGCAGGAACACAAGAAAACAGGATGGATAGCACCCCTCGATTACAAAAGTTTAACACGTATCCAAAATATACAAAAGTTCTTGTATTTGTGTTTTTGGAACAATCCTACTTTGAGTTCAAGTCTGACCAGATTGATGACAGTCTGAGCAGGGCCAGAACTAGAGTAGATTGCCACAAAGAATTATGAACATTCACATTTTCTTTAAACCATAGTTCTTCCAAGCATAAATTATATTCCTATTTAAAGTTTAAACAAAACTGACTGTAGGATTTATACATCCAAAGCTGAGTCTTCAAATATTTTCAGGGAAAACCATTTATTGAAGGGGAAAAAAGGGAAGTGAAAAAAAAAAGTTGCATCACTCTTTAGTGGGATGTTTTTAAC